TCGGTCCGTCTTCGAACCGCATGCTGGCGAAAACGGATTTTGCAAGCACTTTGAGGCCCCGAAGATCTTTGAGCTCTGAGCTTCAGGAGCGAAGAATCGAGCAGGCCCAAAAGTCGGAATTCCAGGGGGGTATCGTCTCTGAGCCCTGATAGAGAGAGGGTGCGCAGCATCCATCGCCGCCAGTGAGCACGTCATGCACGATGGCATGGCCTAATCCACGAGTTGCATGTCATCATGATGCAACCAACCAGAGGAACATGTGTGGTCGCGGCATGTATTTGATCGGAAGTCAATATTAATGCGATGATACCTTCACCAAATCTGCGATGGTGGTTCTGGTTTGCTGGTTGCTGGGTTTGCTGTCCAACATCTGTTCGGTTCGGCTCAAGCGTGATACGCAAGAACCGTCAGCAAAAACATAGGAGTGCACACGCTAGGTTACTAATTCCGTCAGTTTCTGCGATCCACAGAATATGGCAGAAAGCAACCCAACAGCCAGCGCAACAGCCTGTCCGTAAGCCCCACTGCGTAGTGCGTGACATCCATCCACTCAACCAAACACCAGGGCAGAATTGCAGTGTGCCTAATGCCATGGAGCCAAAGGACTACATTAACAACATTCGCGCCAACAAGGCCCCAGCCTCTGCAAATTGGATTTTTTGCATCTGCAAAATGGCAGGGTACTCCAGACCAAGTTGGAGCAGATTTCGAGGCCAATCCCCAAATCCTCAGATGTTCCATCTTCTGCTTGTCTGCCCACGTTCTCCGAACTCATGTCACAGACTTATGCTGAGCTGTTGGCTTAAGCTTATGTACATTTGCCGCTAGATTGTTTGTCCTGGTTGTGAGAAGCATGGGCTTCTGGCAGATTGCGACCTCGACTCAGGCGATGGATTGGGGGTAGTTTCGGTTTAAAGATTGCAAGCCCTACCCATCTCGAAGTGTGGAGTGTCGCCTCCTGAGTTCTACCTCTATGGCAAGCGCCACTTTACTAGCAGCGGTTGGGAGATGCACCAAGCGAGCTACGCCAAGCCGGACAGGGCTGACGGGATGCATGTGAGATTATGTTCGGATTGTCCCTTCTGATGCTTCGAAGTGAACATTGACCTTCTGGACTCGCTGGTAGAGGCTAGATTCGCCAGTCAGTCGATGTGCTTTTGCGACTAGGGAAAAGGCCGTTAAACAGTGTGGATTTCAGGACGTGCTGGAGTCTGCCTTGAGTCTCGCCGGGCGAGTGTACATCGTGAGGCTTGTCTGCAAGTAGGCAAGACATATCCGGCTCAGAGATGTTTCTGCGAGACTGGGGCATTGGCCTGCTAAGGACGGGTAGCAACTCCGGTATTGGCAAGGAGATAGCACAATTTTTGGCAACCAAAGGCGCGCACACCTGATGCCACGAAGATTGCAACCAGTCCTGTGTTGCAGGTGCCACTGTCTACATGCTGTGCCGCAGTCAGCAGAGAGCAGAAAATGCACGAGCCGACATTGTCGCCAAAGCAGGAGGACATGCATGCCATATTGTAGCCAGCGTCATTACGGCTTTGCAGCCGAGAACTGAGGTAAGACTCGAGCCAGAAAAACTTCAGGGGTTCTTGGGAATAGTGCATCAACAACCGCAGAAGATTTGGATTGGGATGGCACATAGCAGACTCGCACGAGCAAATATTTAAAATACTTCTACTCCGAAAATTCAGAATAAACGGAAGCACACAAGCGAATTAATCCCACATACGATGCGCTCAATGCGGAAAATCCAGGACGAATGGGCGATATATTCAGAGCGGGAGGCAGGGAGCAAGAACCGGGAAATGCAGCAAGACACAACGACAACTGGCACAAGGGAGGCCAACAGGCAGTTTGCGGAACCGAAAGCTGATGCTTTTGACATGTTCCTTTGTTGCCTTTTTCTCTTTTCTTTTGCTCGTTCATTAATCCCTCGTGGTGTACAGCCCCGAGTTGTGCCTCCCCCTTTCCCTACGCTGCCACCCACATAGACACCTCGGGAGCGGAAGTTTGGATGTGCTTGTTTCTTACAATATCAGTGATTTTGCCGTTCGACCTTTCATTAAACATATCACGGAGGAGTCGATATGCGATTGTGCTTCTGGTTGCTGCGAGTCTCGGTTGAGGGACTGACCACCCGCACGATACTGTTTGAGGTCGGGGGGTGGTGCCAGTTTCCGCTCTAAGGATGTAGGTTGTGCCACTTTCCTCTAGGTTTCTAGAAGTTTAGCCGTCTTGCTGTCCAAAGTGTTGCCATCTTCATTTTGAAAGGTGCGTAAACTTTCCCCTCGGCTTTGGGGTCGTTCAATCCTCTATCTCCAATCCTCCCAGCGTTTTCGGCTTGCTCTGTGCGTTGCGGCAATAGAGTTTGCTGCATCCACAACAATTGAGACCTTCCAGCCGCTGCGCTTTCGTTCGGGGTTTGTAGTTTTCCATTGTTTGTGTATTAGGGCTTGTGGCTTGCCACTGTACCCTCACAGTCCTTTTTGGCCTCCCGAGGCACGTGAACCCCCAGCGCTTTGCAGCTCCAAGCATTTCCCTGACTTGAAATCCCTTCCAGATGGTGGCACCAGTTCCACACACTCAGATACGGCTTAAGCTTGGCTTCAGCGGCTTCAGTGTTCCAGGAGATGCCCAGGAGCGCGTCCACATCTTGTTGGCTGACTGCAGCTTGGAGGCGGCAGGAGTAGAGCTGGGGAGGTGCCTGTGCTGGTAGTGCCTTGAAGGAGTGGGGGTAGCAATCGGAGCATGAGAGGAGGAAGAAGGGCAGGAGTAGTGCAGCATCATTGGCACCAGCGGTCGTCGTGATAACAGTTACTTTTTTGGTGTTATGTAGTGCCCTGCATGTGTGCAGACCGAAGTTCGCCGGTGCTGGGACGATTTTTGCGAGCACAGCATTGCAAAAAGCTTGGGCCTCAGCGACTGGTATAAGTCCGAAGTTGGGCTGCAGACATGATGGCAGAGCCAGATCAGTTCGAACCTTGTTTTGCACCGAGGTGGTGACCCAACGCGTGTGCGGCTAGATGGCCTAGTCTGCAACGCAGGCAGGACCGCAAGGCAAAGAGGCTGCCGTCCAGGTTTTTCCAAGAGTGGAGGTCATCATAGGTCATCGTAGACAGCATAGCCGGCCTGAGCCAGCTGTGGCATCAAGAGAGACTCAGACAGTCCCCTCTTTTGCCTGGCGTCGAATGCTGGAACTGTTGGCCGCCAGGTGCTTTGGCCAACACAAAGACCATGACAGCAGAGGGCATCGAGCTGACGTTTGCTTCACACCTCCTTTTCGGTCTGGGCCCCGATCTTGTTCTGTTTTCATCCCTCCCTGGCTTCCTTTCTCTACGTGTACTGACCGCAATGATGGATGCTGGTATGGTCATGGTGTCCGTGATTTTGACGATGATGCTGAGGGTGTTGATGATCAAGAGGGTAAGAATGTCTCTGTTGCTGCTGCCGGCGCTGACGTGGACGTGTTTTTGACGACGAGGATGATCTGAGCACGCATAACACGCCGATGATGCTGATCAGTCGCAAGAACCTCCGAGAACGTCCACGAGAGGAAGAAGACGATGATGATTATGTTGATTATGGAATTTTATCAACCAGCAACACACAAGAAAAAGAGGCCGGAAAGCCAGCAAGGTTCAAGGCTCCAACACGAGGTCCGAAGCGCAGCCATTGATATCAACAGTAGTACTACTTCAAGATTACACGTCATTTTGATAATCTTGGTTGTCTTGGTAATCTTGTTTTTCTGGGTTTTTTTTGTGGGTGGAGGCGTCATCTTGGTAATCTTGGTCATCTTGGACCACTTGCGCCATTTGCTGACCAGGACTACCAAGATTACCGCCCCCTCCTCGCGACCAACAAACATCCCGTTTGGGGTAAGCTTAAGGGGCGCGCTCGGCATGCACCGGTTTAGGGATTGGGGGCTCAGGGCTTGAGGTTTAGGGTTGAAGGGTTTAGGGTTGTGGGGTTTTGGGTTACAAGCGCCAAGTGCACGTATTTGTTCCGGCGTGTGCATCGGTTTAGGGTTTAGAGGTTTGGGTTTAGGGTTTCGGGTTCAGGGCTGTTTTGGGGTTTAGGGTTACGCATGACAAGCGCACATCGGTTCAGGTTTTCAAAAGGTTTTAGGGGTTTAGGGGTTTGGGCTATGGGATGAGGGTTAAGGATAGGGTTTAGGGGTGTGCCCGGCGCCCGTATCGGTTTTGGGATTAAGGATTGCTGATTTGGGTTCAGGGCTTAGGGATCTGGGGTTTTAGGGTTGTGGGGTTTATGGGTTTAGGGTTTCATGCAAAACGTCGCCGCAACATCCAAGCGAAAAGCACGCCAAAATGCTTAACAGGGCAACATACAATATCAATTACAAACTCAAGCGTTGTACCGTTTGCACGCTGCTCTTGTCAACTTTGTATAACAATTCCAGACCCCAACACGACTACGCAATGGAACAAGGCAGTGCAGTGCCTGTACTGGTGCAGATTTCGTGGTGATCCGTACCATTAGAAATCTGATGACATAACTCATGTGGCGGTTGCCGGAAATTCCTCGGCAGGCACCGTGCATGCAACAAATTGCAGAAACTGACGTCGCCCGACCTCAAATTCGAGTTCAAGCTGCTTACAAACGCCTTTAAACGTGCAAGAAAACAGTAGCCAAACGATGGAATCGGCTTCGCAGATGAACGCTTGCGGCGCTGAAGGGGCCTGGTTGGGGGATATTATATGGATATTTGGGTCTGGCGGGCTTCTTGGCCATCTGGGTAATCTTGGACCACTTGTACCACCTGCGCCACTTGCTGACCAAGATTACCAATATTATGCGCCATCCCGGACCCTGAAAACCCAGCGCCAAGATTACCAAGATTACGCGTCATCTTGCTTGCCCACGGGCCGACTAAGATGACCAAGATTACCGTCATCTTGCTGCTGCTACTACTATTACCACTACTACTGCTACTACTACCACGACTACTACTACTACTACTACTACTACTACTACTACTCCTACTACTACTACTACTACTACTACTACTACTACCACTACGACTACTACTACCACTTCCACTTGCACTAAGCGTCTCGGCTCGCAAACGTGTAGTCCCCCTCTTCGTGGTTTTGGGTGTTTTGGAGGCTCCTGTCCCCCCTTTCTTGGCTCTGCCTGCTGGTTTCTCTTCTGTGGCTCGGGGCCTGTTCGTTCGGGGCTTAGCATGCAAGCATGGCCCCAGCTCAGCCTCAGCTTGTGGCTCTTCCTGGTCGCAACAAGATCCCGAAAGGCACTGACTGGATGTGGGAAACTGCTCTGGAATTTCAGGTTAGGCAGTTGGCGCTGGAGTTTCTCTGTCTGGGGCTGCGAGAGTTTCGGATTCCGGTGGG